GAAGTGATTTCGATCAGATCGGAGAGAACACCAGCAAAGGAGAATGCTGGGAAAAGAAAGAAAAAAAAAACCTTCTGGTTGTATTCCTGATCTGTCACGATCTCTGTGAAATTCATAGAGAGGAAAATATCCTTCAAAACGGGATAGATTTCAATGTGGTACTCCTGCCCGTCGGGACTCGTCACCGGGCTAGCAGGGCACCTGGCCGACACCTCGCTCTGCGCGGCCATCATATCTGCGGCCTTCCATCCCTCGGGATAATACTTGTCCCAGTACCTGTCCGGCGGGTGGAAATGCTGCCCTGCGTTGACAACCGACCCGCCGCCGAGCACGCACGCCGCGAGCTCCGTCACCTGGCTGCAAAACACGGGGTCCATCGCGTCGCCCTTCGTCCGCGACGGGATCCCGGCCAGCGACCACAAGTCGAACGCCGTCAGCGGCGCAGACTGCATCCACTCCGCCTGCCACCGCCCGCCAGAGTCGTACAGCGACGGCCCGCCCCGCTCTAGCAGCAGCACCTTGTTGCCGCGCTCCGCCAGTCGCACCGCGTTGACGATCCCGGCGGCCCCCGCGCCAATCACGATGTAGTCCCATCCGTCGCCTGGCGCTGCGGTGGTGATGGTGGTGTTGCCGCCGGCGGGCTCGGCGGCGGGATTGGTGGCGGCGGCGGCGGCGAAGGGGTCCCCCCCGAGCGGAATGAGGGCGAGGGCGACGGCAGCGACGATGCCAGCGGCGGCGCCAGAAGTGACGTGGGTGGCCCGCATGCTGGGTGGATGAAATTGCGGAAAAAAGAGAACGAAAGAGAAAGAAAAAATAGAAAGACAAGCCGAATTTGGGTATGATGCGCATTTGTGATATTGATAATTGTGCAAAAAGTTTCAAAAAATTCGTCTTTGTCTTCGGCGCTAAAAAATGCACCCCTTCCACATTGAATCTTGAACGCCCATTTTCAATTAGAAAAATGAGAAAAGAAAGAGGACAAGTCGTTCGCCCGCCCTGCGACGGCTGTCAATCGTTACCACAACCCACAATCCTGCGTGCCCCATCATCGCAGGAACCAACCGCCGCTGCGCACTGAATACACAAACCAACTGAGTAAGAAGTAGATTACCCCCTCACTGCCACTCCAGTCCACACCCTTTGCCCTGATCTTGATCCCATCTCTGCCACAACCCATAGTTACGCACAGTTGACCATCATTGGACAGTGTGTTAGGCAGAACTGACTGGTTTGCAGCAAGAGGCACAAGACAGACCTGAACCTATTGCGACTGTCAGCTATTGCTCTCATGCTGCCCATGGGAGAGCGAGCCGCCGCCAATGCAGACCTGGGTGCTGGCTTGCGCTGTTGACAAATTCTCCGAGTATTAAGTGGAATGGAAACCTGGTATTAACAGTTTTTCTCCTCCTCCTCTGCTCAAGCAGATTATATAGGAGAGGTTTTTACCCTGTGCCGGTCACGCTTGCCTAGCAACTATTACAGCGTTTGTATCATCATCATGTATCAATAATTCATAACAGAGGTTTTTCTCCTTTCTCTCCAAGTTGGGGAGAAGGACCACCCACAAACACACATCTCCACTTCATTCACTCCTTCCACTCACTCACTCAGAGTAGACTGTTTACAATATGAATTGAATTGTATGAAAAAAAGGTCTGATTTGGGTCTGATTCAAAAAATCAAATCAAATCAAATCAAATGATTGCTTGCCAAAATCAGCCATTTGCGTTTGATTCAAAGCTTTTTAATGAGTATTTTTTCAAATGTCTGCCCTATTAGGGGTGATTGTTGGAGTTTGCACACATTACCTACACCTTTTAAGATCCTCTGACCTGTCTTCAAGAGTAACGATAAGTTAAGATGGCATAAGGGCTGATCCCAGTGTCATCTACACTTTTCTCAATCTCTGACACTGTACGAGTGCTTAGAGGTGGTTTCAATCCCCAGTCTGGGTAGACCACATCAGTGTGCTTCACTCTTGCAATTTGATAGGAATGATTACAGGAGCTTGACAGGGAGCCTGACTTACTTCTTTGCACACATAACTCCATGGAAGTTCTGGCCAAATCAGCGTGATGCAACAATGATGTCATGCCTGCCTCCTGACTCCTCAAAGTCTAAACTCTATCTCTCAGAGCTAAAAGGCTATCACCAAAGTCTGATTCCTGAGACCACCTGCAGTATAAAAGGGAGAGCCCCAGCAGCTCCAGAGAAGCATCATCGCAGATCCTGATCACATCTGCCTGCTCTCTCTCTCCCCTCGAATACAACAAACAAAAACCATTATTCTTATCTGAGTCAACATACCCTCTACCTTGACCTGCGAAGCTCTTCAAGTTCTACCTCGGGTCGATACCTTGTTCGTATAGGGCGCTTTGCTCTTACAAGAAAAGTGTGTGCTCTGCACTCTAAACAAGACCAATCTGTCTGAGAGCATCGGCTCTCCATCTACTTTGGCAACAAAGGGCGCTTCACTCTTAACAAGAGAAGGGCTCACGCTCTAAACAAGCTTTATTGCTCCACGCCGACTCAAGTCTGTTGGCGCCCTTCTGACACGCCAGGCGCAATCACCAACAGTGATTCGGCCTAAAAATGCCTAATTTGGCGAATCAAATGTCTGGCATACTGCAAAAAATTGTCATTTGAGTTTGGAAACCCAAATTGAATCAAGTCAAATTGCAAATCCAGCCCAACCTGTGTTAAACCCTATTGGTTTGGGAAAAAGCCATTCATTCTTAAGGCTGTGCAGTACAGACTTGGGACGGACAATCCAGGAAAACGGTCTGCGTCTGCCCTTGTGGTTTCCCGATAAGAGCCCTCTGTATATGGAGATCCACAGGGTCCCCGCAAGTTTTCAGGCGGATTCCTCAAAAATCAGGCAGAAAAATTCCAGTTTGGATAAGGATCAGGGTCAAAACTGGCTGACTGCTGAGCCCTACCCAACACAGTCCTTCGGTCTATCCTCTGACCAAGCAGCAAGTAACTTTTGTGCCTTCAAAACATCACACTGGCAGAGAGACATACCCCTGAAATTCAATACGCATTTTTTGGAGAATCGGGGTATCGATCCCTGTGCCTCTCGCATGCTAAGCGAGCGCTCTACCATTTGAGCTAATTCCCCAAGTCCCATAGGCGGTATATACAGAACTGATTGACATGTGTGTTTGTGAGTTTGTCGGGAGTCCTTCTTGGAGAGCAGGAAAACTCTGCTGTGAGTAATTGAAACATAATGATGATATGCATGCTATAATAGCTAAGGCTTGGGGTTTGGCTAACCCAACAGGTTCACTGTTGCTTAACAGGCTGGTTTTAGTGGGGCACAGCCTGCAGAATCAAACAAAACCTTGTCAGAACGTTTTGGTGGCTTTAAAGTTTCCTCTAATGCACATTAACCAGAAAAATTCCAGGCAGAATGATTGGAATGTGAATCCTGGTAAGCCAAACACCCAAGCTGTGATAATAGTCACTGGTAGAGCGTAACCAACCCATAATCATCTGCTTGGCAGAGGAGGTGGAAAACTGTTTACACTGGGTTTCTGTTCCACTACATACCATGGGTTCCTATAATTGAATTACCAATTGAATTTCTTTCTTCCAATTAATGAGGGAGCCAGTTCAATTATTGAAAAAATTGGAACAACAATTGGGAATGATTAAGAAGGACAGATCACTGACAAGGTCTTATGGTGAGGGCAGCCTCCTTTCCACCCACTGTTTTTGCCTTTCAGCAATTGTTTCCTCTGGAGGCCTTTGCGAAAAAATTACTCTGATGTGGCATTTCCCACCAAACAATTAAGTTTTCAGAACCACTGCTACATACTCAGACTATTTAAGGCTGTCATCCAAAAAGGCGGTAGCAGATAGCCCCTTACATGTGCTTCTCATTATCCTGGTTTTCTTGCAGACATGAAGCAGATACAGATATCCAATCTCTGCGCTTCTTATTAAGTTTACTCAGAAATTTTCTACTATGCAGACTAAATATTCAGACTAATTGTCAAGCTTCCTGCTCTAATTCCATTGTACAGTTGGGGGGAAAAAGTGCAAAAAGTTCCAGCGTCCTTCACAGAAGCCCAATATACAAAACTTTCCCAGTTCTCAATCTCTTGATGCCAAACTTTGAGCACAATTAGGAATTTGGTGGAGTGATATGCTGCTAAAAAATTTTATGAAGTTGCAGCAGCTCAGTCCCCAGATAATAGCAATCAAATAGGAAAACACTGGGAATAGACAGGTCCTCTTGAGTTGCTCTCTTTGAGCAGTTTGGACGAAAATGCCTCAACAGGAGCTGATTAATAGCGCATCATTTTTCAAATACCAAGTGTGAAACTGAATACACTGTGTGATTTTCAGCAGCAAAAGAAGTTGGAGCAACCAGATAACTTGCAAACATGCAATTTCTAAACTCAAATACCTTCCCATTTGAAGCCTCTTTAGAGACGCTGCTGAAGAAGATAGGCGCTTGTGAAACATTTTGGTGAACAAGTCGCAAGCTTCGTGTGATCAGAAGTTTTTTTTGAACCAATAAGCAATAAGTTTGCAAGTTTTGCTGTGAATGACTTCTCCAACTTCTGGAGCTGCTGGAAAATGCCACAGTCCATTTCATCATATCAAAGCTATGTATGTGGTGATCTGTTTCAGATTGTTTACCAGTACTACTGGTTTGCAGTGTGCAAAGTGCGTAAATCAGATTAGGAAGAGTGAAAATTGACAGGCACTCATTTCCAAAATTTTCATGTAAAATTCCTATTATCAGGAGAATGAGCCACAGACGTCTCGTCAAAATTCTCTAATGTATTTGACTACTAGTGCCCTATCAGTGTACAAAATCTCCTAACAAAATATTGGAAATTGACAGAGTTCTCTGCCATGGACTTCTGTCTCAGAATTCAGAAAATTCAGAGTGTCAGAGGACTTTTTTCCCTCCTCTGTACTTCACTATGTTTGATAGTGAGAAGAGCTCTAGGGTCTGCCTGCAAACACAAGCAAGAAACCCAAATGCTTCATTTGTATAGTGGCTAGTACGCCTCGTTGTGGCTGAGGAAAACGGTGGTTCGATTCCACCATGTAGCAATCAGCTTTGCGCGGTACTTTGCTGCAGACTTGTTGTGGTGGAAACACAAGTTTGTTATCAAGCGCAGGCCTTGATGGGATCAAGGGAAGCTAGCAGAGCCTTGAGGAATTGGTGACTGCCAGTAGAGTCAGGCCACCCCCAATGCGCCATGCCACGGCCAGCAATCAACGTCAACCACCTTCATCTTCTCAATTAGGTCCCAGTCATCAGTGACAGAGGTGCTCGTCTTTGGTGTGGGCTGGGATGCCAGCATGAGGTGAGGTGAATGGCTTATGGACAAGCTGTTTCAGTGAAGCCAAGTGTGTTGGCATTGAAGGCTCAGGCTGTTTAGGGCAGTGGTTTTGATGTGGGAAGTGGCGCCAGCCACCAGCTGGATGAAAATTCAAACTTTGATCCAATCCAAAAAAATTGAAAAAAATAAGCAAACAAAAAAAAAAGTGGAAATGCAGAAACAAAACATTAACCTCCAAGGTCCAACCTGATCACAGCCGCAACATCGACAGTAAGTGTTGGGAAAGTTGCAATGGTGAGATTAGTGGCGGTATTTGTTGAAATTCGTTGGGGATGGGATGGAATGCACATACTCTGAGGCGCTCAAGGGCGAGCAGAAAGTTTGCCCGTCCCTTCAAAAGTTCCAATCCCATACAGCCATTGGTGGGCACTTTTGTGGGTGTCAGTGGGGGAGGGCGATAAAGCCAAGTGCCACTCAGACTGCGACCCGGAAAATCAACTTGGGTGATTTGTGCTGTCTAAAGTTGCAAAAGGAGGAGAAAATCTCAAACTGATCGTTAGAAGCCTGGAAGTTGACAGCCCAGGCGTCCTCACTGACATTGTGATCACAATCTCCAACTCCAGCAGTGTTGATCAGGTGCTAGCACAAGAAGAGCTGTTCATTGGGAGGTGTTTTTTGGTAGTGCCAGTGTTATGAATCACCCTCTGGAAACCTCTGGAACCTTCTAGAACATTCCTTCATGGAACCTTCTGGAACCTTCTGGAACCTTCTAGAACATTCCTTCATGGAACCTTGTGGAACCTTCCGGAACCTTCTTTGCTTTCCTGACTTGTCTTGTTGTCATTGGTATCATTGGTATCATTGTATTACTAATTGCTCTTTCTGGAACTTTCTTTGAGTCTTGACAAGGAAGACTCTCAAAAGGTATAAAAGGGGGATGGGGGACGTCCCAACCCTCAAGTGAATTATTGTTTCCAATACAATCATCACTCCTCTCAGTTCCTTGTCTGCCTTGTCCTGTCCTGCCATGTTCCTGACATCATAATTCACTTCACCCTCTCCTACTACTCTCTGCCATCATGTCTGACCCAAACAACACCTTCCCTGATGCAACTGCCTTCCAAGCCTTGATGGACCAATTACAAGCCCTTTCAAGACAGACACACCAACTTCAAGAACAAGTCCTTCACCAGCAGCACCAGCTTCAACAACAACTTCACCAACAAGAACATCAAGCTCTTCCCCTGCCCCAAACCAACCAAGCAAGAGAGCCCAAGGTTCCCAGCCCTGACAAGTTCACTGGGCTGGCCAAAGACCTCAGGAACTTTATGGCCACTGTGGAGAATGTCATCCTTCTCCAACCTTCAAGATTTCCCAGTGAGCAAGTCAAGGTTCCTTTCACAAGCACCCTCCTGTCTGGTCAAGCTCAATCATGGTACAGATCTCTCCCAAGCACACCCACCACCCTGCAAGAGCTCTGGGAGGGGCTGGAAGCTACCTTTGGTGACCCCTACGCATCTTGGACAGCAAGATCCAAGCTCAAGCATATCAAGCAAGGAAAGCAATCTTGTGTGGCCTACACCAACCAATTCAAGCAACTAGCCAGAGACTCTGGATACAATGATGCAGCTCTGATGGAGCTGTACCATGATGGTCTCCATGAGTCTATCCAAGACATGCTCTCCCAGTCTCTGCACATCCCTGAGACCTTGGAAGAGTACATTCTCCTTGCCATCAAGATTGACAACAGACTCTACTCCAAGAGGCTGAAGCAAAGACAAATAGGAACTACATCAAGACCTACCCCAGTTCCTCAAGCTCTTACAGTTCCTGAACCCATGCAAGTGGATGCAGTTGAGACACTTCCTAAGAGTCCTCTGAGCCAAGAGGAGGAAAACAAGGAGGGCCCAGCAGGGACTGTGTTTCTACTGTGGCTCCAAGGAACACGCTGTCAAGGACTGCCCAAGGAAGAAGCACCCAAACTCCCAGGTCCAGGCTCACTGAGGGGCAATTCCCTGGACCCTCCTCCAAACTGCCCCTGTTTCATCACCACCACCAGCACCACAAACACCTCAGATTCCAAGCCCCACCAACTCACCATGGATGTCAAGATTCAACTCTCACCCAAGTCAACCATCACAACCAAGGCCCTTATAGACTCTGGATCATCCTGCAACATCATTGATGCCACCCTTGCCAAGTCTTGTGCCATTCCCACCATCAAGAAATCCACACCCCTCAAGGTTCACTTTGCCAATCATGCTCTGTTCAAGGAAATCAGCCATGAAACCAAGCTAAACCTCCACATCCAAGACTTTCCACCATCCATGGTCAACCTGGAAGTATTGGATCTTGGCTCACCCACATTCTCTGTCATCCTGGGATTACCATGGCTGCAAGCCCAGAACCCTGCCATTGATTGGGTCACTGGTCAAGTCCAACCTCCACCAATTGGAACAGTCACCCAAAACTCAAGTCAAGCCTCCAAGTCTCATGCTCTCAAGTCCCTGATTCAAGGCTCTCAGCCTAGTATCCAAGGTCAACCACAAATGACAGCTCCAGTATCAGCCTGCAGCTCACAGATCCCAGCCAAGATTCAAGTTTCACAGTTCACAGTTCATAGTCAAGATTCCAGCACAGCTCATAGAGCTCACAGTCATGGCCAAGTCTGTAGTTCACAGAACCCACAGTCAAAGATTCAAGTACCACAGTTCACAGTCCAAATTCAAGATTCAAGCTCCACAGCTCACAGTCTTTGCCAAGAACAGAACCCCTCAGTCAAAGATTCAAGAATCACAGTTCCCAGTCAACAATTCAAGCCCCACTGCTGATGAGCACAGAAGGACAGACCTTGCACCTGAAGGGGGAGATGGTTTCACCCCACCATCCAAGACACACCTTTCACTGCTTCCTGACAGTGTGTGGGCCCATGCTATTTCCAAGGACCCCAAGCCTCACAAGATTCAAATCAGCCAAGACGAGGAAAAACTTGAGATACTCAAGACAAGGCATGTTGCAGCAACAGCTGGACACCCAGGAGAGCACAAGACATATGAGCTTGCTTCCAGAGACTTTTACTGGCCAGGCATGAGGAAGAACTTGCAGTCCAAAAGACCAAGTCCCAAGCTAGACAACCTCAAGTTGAGACCTTTCAAGATCTTGGAGCAAATCAATCCAGTCACCTTCAAGCTGGATCTCCCTGCATCCATGAAGATCCACCCAGTTTTCCATGTCAGCCTTTTGGAGAAGTTTGTGGCCAATTCCATTCCAGGCAGAGTTGTTCCTCCTCCTCCTCCAGTTGAGGTAGAAGGTGAAGAGGAATTGAGGTTGAACAAATCTTGGATGCCAAGTGGTTTGGAAGGACACTCAAGTTCCTTGTTAAGTGGAAAGGTTACTCAGATGCTGACAACACCTGGGAACCTGAGTCAAACCTCACTCACTGCCAAGACCTTCTGCTCAAGTTCAAGACCAGGTACCCCACCAAGTTGCAGAAGAGGCCTAAAAGGGGGAGATGATGTTATGAATCACCCTCTGGAAACCTCTGGACCCTTCTAGAACATTCCTTCATGGAACCTTCTGGAACCTTCTGGAACCTTCTAGAACATTCCTTCATGGAACCTTGTGGAACCTTCCGGAACCTTCTTTGCTTTCCTGACTTGTCTTGTTGTCATTGGTATCATTGGTATCATTGTATTACTAATTGCTCTTTCTGGAACTTTCTTTGAGTCTTGACAAGGAAGACTCTCAAAAGGTATAAACAGGGGGATGGGGGGACGTCCCCAACCCCTCAAGTGAATTATGTTTCCAATACAATACATCACTCCTCTCAGTCCTTGTCTGCCTGTCGCCTGTCCTGCCATGTTCTCTGACAGACTCCAGCAGCGAATAGGTTGACTTGGAGGTTTTTAATCACGTCAAAAAGCCATCTTTGTGGCGCTAGGGTTAGGCCCCTTTCGCAGCACGAGATTTGCGTTTTTCTAATTTGTTTTCGATAAAAAGAAAGCAATTGTTTGAAAAACAGAAAGGAGGCCAAAAAAGGGCTATGGTGTTCGACAAGAAAGGGCGCTGTACCGTCCTCTAATAGGGAAGGGGGAGGTATGCTCAGCAACAACCTCTTCAATTTGTGCCTGCTTGTGCTTGTGGTTGTTTGGCAGCTTTTAATAGCCCCTGCCTACGCAATCTTCCTGTTCCAGCACTGGCACGTTGTGGAACATGTTTGAAGCTCATGCACCAACTTTTACCAGCAACAGTGCTTCAGGCTGAACTCACCCCC